GTACGCCGTTTCTTGAATGGTTTCGAGTCAGGGTTTTCAGCCAACTCCCTTACAGAAATCGCCAGTGGTTCACTGACCCGGTTATAGCCCAGAATGTTGGCTTTTCGTCCTCCAACTTTGGTGAGAAAACACCTCTGCCATGAGAAAAAAAGAAGTATGGCATCCTCGGTAGAGGCTATTTGAGATCCGTGGTTGTATAGGAGCAAATCGTGATATGCAAGGCGAGGGTGAGAAATCACAACCTTATACATCCACACCGACAATACTGAGGCATCCAGACGATAAGTCAAAGAAATTCGCACAAGTGTCGATGAACCATCAGTGACAAAGCAAATGGATTTTACTGTTTCGTTAGTAGTTTGTAAATCACACAGCTAGATTACGAACAACTCCTCGATTAAAGGGACAACAGTACACTTTAGAACTGTGGACTTTTTATTTACTCCATTTCCACTCGTTGATTATCATCATCATTGATTCACTGATCGCTGCCAAACTCATATTGCATACAAGGTGAGCGATAATGCGTAAAGAAGACAGGGATTGAACCTACTTTTAGAGACGGGAAAAGAAAGCGAACCTCTATGGTCAACACAGAGTACACAATCCAACTGTGCATACACACTACTCCAAGCATTCTGGTCTGATAAGAAGTGACAGCAAGATCGCCATTGCTGTCGGTTCGCAGTCATGACCTTCAGTGTCTTCAACCATGCGATTTCGGAGTCCTTTGAACCCCAACCGGGGAGACGAGAGACACCTACTCCACCCAATCGCTCTGTGCATTTCTTTATGCTTCGTCTCCATGTCATCTGCTGGCTTCCACGTGGCTTCCCCCAGCCTGTAACAGCCACTGCGAATGAGGTGCGCTGTGGTAGGCGACCGCCGGACATACGTAAAGTGTCCTAACAAACGGAGCCTATTGAGCTGGATTCGATGAGATAGCGCGTTCTTGTTTGATGCATTCCCAAACACCTGACGACTTACTTCTAAGTTACTAACCCGTTCACTCCATCCAACCTGGGTCAGACTACGTAAGTATCGATTGTCGAAAACCTCTCGGCGATGAATGTTTTCCACCCGCAAATTCAAGGTCTCCAAACCGTAAAGTAGAACTGATCGTACGGTGACGCAGTATACGCCACTTTCCAACCTTAGTGACACGTCACGTCGCCGCCACAGTTGTTTTAGTCCTGCGTATGCTACTTGAGCCTTGGAAATGCGGGCGGTTAGCTCCTTCGATGCGCTACCGTCGTTGGTCACGAAGCTACCTAAGCACGAGAAGCAGTCAACATCAGCTAATTCCTGACAGTCTAGTTTCAGAACACAACTCGGCGACACTCGGTCTTGTAGCATCACTTTGCACTTTGAAGGTGCAGAGCACATACCGAACGGGGCGGCAGAACATGCTAATCTATCAAGTAATGTTTGTGCATCTTCCATAGATTCGAACAAGCAAACAATGTCATCAGCGTACTCCATATCGCACAGTTTTTCTCCATCTGCCCATTCAATACCTACGTTTCGGAGTCCACTTAATGCGCTTTCCAACATTTCGTCTACGACGAAATTGAACAGGAACGGTGAAAGAGGGCATCCTTGACGCCGCTGTTGGTGACGAACGGCCTATTGTAAACCCTTACACGACCGGTCTGTGAGTACAGTGTCCTCAGTAGGTTAACGTACTTCTGGGGCATTCCTTTTCGAAGAAGAAAGCCCATAAGAGCTTCGTGATCAACTGAGTCGAGTGCTCCTTTCAGGTCAAGGAACAGTGCGATCGTTGGCCGACGGTGGGTGTGACGCAGCTCAAGGATCTGACGCAACGTAAAATCTGATCAATACATCCACGGCTTGCTGTTCATGGATGTTGGTCACTCTTAAAGGAGTCAGACGTCGAAGAATAAGCGAAGCTAGCACTTTGGTGACGATCGGGATCAAACTGATCCCGCGGTGGTTTTCGCAATCATTGCGAGATCCTTTCTTGAAAACGGGAACGATCAGTGACTCGCCCCAAGATGAGGGAAAGTGTTCTCGAGTCCAAATGTTGCGCAGTAGGGTAGTAATATAGATTACGCGGTTATCACTTCCCATCTTGAAAAGAATGGGAGGGAGCTCATCCTTTCCTCCCTTCAGAGCTTGAATGCAAGACCGAACTTCTGTTTCTGCTGAACGGCTGGAACAGATAGTCTATGGTGAGCTATCCGAGTTTGCTAAATTCGTCGCCGGCCAGTCAAACGAAGAGTGAACTGCAACAAAACTAATGAGTGATCAGACTCAACGAAGGTGGTCCAATAGGACCTGTGATTTTGCACTGAGCCACACCAACGGTAATTTACTCCTACGTGGTCGATTCGAGTTAACGTACCAGTTGAACTGGAGTGCCACGTTGCCATCCGTCGAGAGCTGTGTCGGAAGTTGGTTCTTGATAGGAACAGATGACGGTCTGCGCAGAATCGAAGAAGTCGGTCGTCGTTATCTGTTTGTTAGCTGGGCAGAGCACAACTACCGCCTAGGCAAGCTTCTGATACAACCAGTTTTCAACCTGAGCGTTGAAGTCACCTGCAATTGCAACTAGGTCGGAGCTTAGACTCATAAGAATGAGATCGTTGAGGTCATCGCAGAATATGCTGATACGATGAACAAACACCTTTTGGTGTTGCTTTCCTTCCGGACGCTGATTGAACCCTGGAGACACATTGCACATAAACGACTGTTGCAGGGATCCGATCGATAAGAGAAGACTCCGCCCTGTTGCTGAATACAATACCGACCCCGCGCTGATTCACTGAGCGGGCTTTGTCGTCGCCTTATGTGCGAAGAACATATCTCGAAGACAAATCTGACGCGCTCAAGTGGCTTAGAGTAGTAGGACCCTGGATACGGATCTCCGACACGCAGCAAATATCGATCCCCAAGGATTCCATTGTACGAGCCAGACAAGCTTGTTGNAGCTTGTTGACCTACCTGCATTAGGGTCCTCACGTTGAAGGCCCCTAGATTCAGTGATGGACGAGGCTTTAGAATCTGCAATTCGTTTCGATATACATTACTTACAGTGGTATTTGGCAACGACCTTTGGAAGCGACATTCAAGTTGCTTGAGGGACTATCACAGGTCGGAAGAAGGGGCAAATGGAGAGGGCTGGATACTGAAGAAAAAGAATTAAACAAAGGTTGGGATATTTGTATTCATGCCATTACATAACGTTACACATGACTAACGATAAGAACAAACAACGAATGATAGATTTTAGCCCTAATGGTTTACCTCCAGCTCCAATCATGGGTGCATGTGCGCTTGTGTGAAATTGATCAGTGCCAACAGTTCAAGTGATTGCATACCTGTTGGAGTAGATGAAATGGGCCAGGGGAGATTAAGTGCTTGCATAAATTTCTACTGGGCGCACAAGGGCTTGTGAATATGAATACTAACGGCTTCTGCCGTGGCTAAGATACGATGCTTCACTGCTCTTCATGGCCTACATCGAACCTTGTAAATCGGTCGGAACACGCTTGCTACATCCATCGAGTGATTTGACTCAACGAGATACGAACATACCGCGCTTGTTATTGTCTTAATTATTCCAGTCCTCGGCCAAGCCGGGTGGTGTTCCCGAAAGCGATCGGATAAGCGCCTGGTCGTGCGGCCAATGTACCCAGTTCCGCAAGAACAGGTGAATGAGTATATACAGAAGGAGGCTGCAGAATCTGGCACTCTGTACTTCAGACGGAAACACGTAGTCGGTTTAGATGTGCACACGGCTTTTAATTATGCAGCGCAAAATGTTCTGCTTAACGCACTTGTGAGATTTCTTCATAAGATTCCCGCCTCCGTACCTCCCTTGAACGGCAGATGCACATAGACAGA